AAGCTAATAATTTAAGGTGTGTGAACTGAGTGCTTGATTTAAGCTGAAATGCCTCACTCCTCCTCACACCTGAGTAAGATAATATGTTATGTGGAAGCAGTCACTGTTCCCAGTGTGCTGCAGACCTGGAGCTACCGTTGTCTTCTGCCTTCCAGGAGTCACCCGCACTTGGTAAATAATCATCCTTGGGTCTCTGCTGAGTACGTGCACAGCAATAAGGCTGCCACRCAGGAGCAAACTGGCAGCTTTCAGCGGGCCTGTTCCTTGTCAGGAGAGCATTTGAGGAGCTCACTGAGCTTGAAGAYTGGGTAGCAGCTGAGGCTTATGGAGCACTTCCCAAACAACTTTTCCCCTCTCTGTATCTCCCAACAGAGCCTCTTCCTCCAAGATGAAATCAGATGTTTTGGCATTCAGACAACATCTTCTGCCTCTCCAAACACACACCTGCTTGGCTGCAGGCCGCCGGCGTGTCAAATGGGACTTGCAGAGGAAGTGCTCAGACCAGGGAGTGCAGGCCTTCACCACAGGGGTTGCCAGTGATGCTTTGATGCTTTCTGTCTGTCTGTCTATCTGTCATCTGGAAAAGCAATTTACTGCTCACCTACCTGTATTGCATTGGGGTGTCTGGTTTAGACACTAGGAGYGGGCAGATGAGAGATGACAGAAATGACAGCAGGGACAAGGAGCTGAGAGCCCCACTTGGCTGGAGGGTGAGGGGACAGATGGAAGCAGCTTTGGCACCGCAGCAGTGGGGGACGTGGGGTGGCTGCTCGTTTGGCAGCTCTGCTGGTGAACGCTTCATTACTGGCTGCTTGGCCTTCCCAGAGCTGGCAGCAACTCACGGTGTCCTCAGTTGCCACCTCTCAGTTACTCATCCTCTCCAATTGCTTTTCTGAAAGCATGTTGTGCAACTCCTGGTGCTGCTCCTTATGTCATAGTCTGAGCATCCCCTCTACCTTCTGGTTCTATTCCCCTGACATACCTTACAGCAGGACTGGGTCTCAGAGGCTGCGAGAAACTGTACTAATTAAAACCAGGATGACTCACAGATGACGACTTAGGTTCTATTCCCGGGAGAATCTATACCTAGTGGTTCCTAGTCCAAGACTCAGATAGAAAAAAATAACTTTCACTCCTGTCATGGCAAGGAAAGTACCACCATGAACATAGCTTTTTTTTTTTTTTGAAATTAGTAGAAAAATCAATAAATAGGAAATTCTACTTTGTTTCTGGCTGACAATCTAAAATTGAGTCCTATTTTGTTTCATTTAAATGAGAATTGGAAATGATTAGGTAGTGCTGGGTCAGTGTGTTTACGGATGTGGGTAACATCGGTGTTTTGAAAGATTTTAGCTTTTTGTGAGTAATAAGACTCTGACTTCCTCCTTAGATACAAATTACAAAAATAGATTTTCTTCAGTGATTTACCTTTTCTCAGGTTTATTAAAACAAAGTATAGATATTGCATTTGTACAATAATTAATGCTTTAATATTTATATAAAACATGAATGTTTATATACACCATGAAAATTATTTTGGAATTTGTTTTTAGAAATCTTGTATGTTCATACTACTTATGCATGGGTGTCTTATGTGTGTGCGTGCACAAAAATATGTATAAAAAAATCTGGTGTGTGTATGAATAATACCRGAATTATGTATATTATATATATATTTGCAAATTCATTTGGAAATAAGAGTAGCAGAGAAGCTTAACCAAAGAACATTGAAATAGCATATTTTTAGTTGAAATAGAACCACAATCTTAAAATTAAAATCCTATTGATAAAATAATGCTTTTTATTCCCTAGAGCATAGATTTATCTTAGACTGAAGAGTTTTCGATCTTTTTACAAAAACTCACACTGTCATCCTGAACAAGAATTAAACCCATAATATTTAAGCTTGTTATATAAAAGATAAGGAATAAAATCCATATATCTGACTCCCTTTTTCCTGATAATATTTAGGCCCTTAGTGCTGCAAGAGTGACATCCAGTGACTGAGCCACTTCTAGACTGGAATTGCATTTGAAGTGAATTGTCAGTGATGGAAAATGAAGCTCATTTACTAAAGCCTTTAGTGAAGCAATACTGAGGATTAACTCTCACTGAGAGAATAAAAAATGATAAATAGTTAATCTGTAGGAATGATATAAATACTTGAGTAGCACCAATGACAAAGCAGTGCATAACACAAGTATGTGCAGTTTATCATAAAGCTGATCCAACTGAAGTGTAAAACATCAAACAAGAATTCTTATTCAGCTAAAAATTTTCTAGAGGAAAACTTTCTATCATAATTGCAATTTCGCTTCAATTGATTTTTTTTTCTCTGACTGATAAACTCTCTTATCTGAAAGAAAGGGCCATTGTGTTCATTCTAATTTCAGTCAGATATTCATATATAAGAACAAGAAGTTATAGGAAAGAATAAGAAAGGGAAAAGGAGAAATATATAATGTATGTTATACAGACAAGTTTTCAAGAGCTAGCTGCAGGGTTTGGATCTTGCTAAATATCTAGGACCTTTGTATATTCTTGGTGATTTTTAAATATTAAAGGCTGCGAAGACCACAATGCGAGTAATACAATAGGTAAGATATAAAATAATAATAGCACCTTTTGCGAAACTGTTATGAAATGTCTCTGTCTTCTCTTAGAACCTACATGGGATCTGGAAGTTGCATGTCATGCCATGCAGATGACCAACAATGCTGAGGTGGAAAAGACTCTTTGGAGCTTTTAGCCCATGTGTTGACAAGGGACTACCAGCCCTTTTAAGCTTAGCAGGGCCCAGCTCACTGGGCTGGTTGTGTTTTTCCTCTCAGGTTGCAGCTTATTTCCTTATGAACACTCAAAAATACCCATAACTTTTCCAGCCAGTTTCCATCCATCCATTCCCAGCACTGGGAATTAAGTTGTGATTTAGTCTGCTGAATTGAGGAGATAGGAAGTTCTTGCCTCTGGGAAGGTTTTAAGAACTAAGCAGTGGAAAAAACGAAGTAGTATCACTAGGTGGCAACAAAGCATCACAAACTGCTGTTCAAGGACACTATAGCCTGTGTTGCTGCTTCTATGGTATCTATGTAATGACCTTAAGGAGAGCTTGCATAAGCTTTTGTGTTTTTCCAAGTTGCACAGAAATTTGTCTCAGGATGGAGTTCCAAAAATTACAATGTATGCATAATGTATATATGATTYCTCATCTGCCTCCCCCCTCCCCTCCCCCCCTCCAAAAAAGAACCCACAAAACAGAAAAACACTTATGTTTCTGAGCTCTCTCATGAAGCTTCCTCCCCCATTTGTTTCAATCACCAGTCTTCCAGCTTGTAGTCTCGTATCAGAAGGTGAAACATGAATTATCCTAACTTTGAGCTCTCCAGAGCCAAAACTCTTTTGGGTAGGATTTTCTAGGATTTATACAAGGCCTTTTATTATTAGTCTTACTATTACATCTTTATTTTATCTTTCTTTACTCCTGCTTGCATCTGTTTACCAGGACATGCTGAGTTACAGAGATCATAAAAAGAACAGAGCTGCAAATTGGATATATTTCAASAGAAATGCAGTGTAAGCTGCCTTTATACCAGTGAATCATATAAGTGTCTTCCAGATTTTCCTTTAACTGTTAAACTCAAGCTATTTCATAACAGACCAGCACAGAGCAGCTGGTAAAACAAGCTGGAATATTAGGTTTGTACTGTGTGTTCCTCATGTCAGTGTAATCTGCAGAAACCCAGAAGGAAAGATGGAAAGCAACCTAGCAAGCAAGCTTGTAGGTACCATAAATAGTCTTTTCTTATACCTATCCAATCGAATGTGCAATTCCTACTCTTGTTTATCCAGCTAGGGCTGTGACTTCATCTGCTGTTTATGGGTGAGTTGGATTGCCTGGTCCTACTCAACATCCCAAACAGTTCTGTTTCCATCTTCAGTCTGCTTCTAGTCTGGTAGGTTATCGTGATGATGCAAATGAATCCAGAGATAGTCCTTCCTGCTAGGAGGACTAGGACCATAAAGTTAGGAGGACTGAATGTGAAAACGAGAGAGACACTAGCGAGAAAATAAAAAATCTTTGCTTCTCATGCAGGCATTTCTAAGCTGAGTCTACTGACTGTTAACTGGGTCAGTAGGCAAATGGATTTGACTACCCGTAAGGAGACTTAAATCCATTTGCCTGCTTGACCCAGCTGATTTATACTGAAATGTTCCAATCGGATTGTATTCGTGTAATTAGGAGCACCAGAGGGGAGGTCAAGGAAGCTSACAGCCAGCACTTGGGTGTGCCTTGAAGAAAGTTAACCTGATACGTGATTATGAGAAGGTTCAATCTATTTGAGCATGGTAAGAAGATGAATTTCAATCTTCCCTGAAGGTGATTTAATTTACTAATTTAATTGCCCACAAATGCCTAATTGAGGCACATATGATTAGTGACAGCTACTAACTGCATGTAAGGAACTGATCTTCAGCTGCTCCTTCTGTTGCTCTTATTATTGCCCCGAACTTGATTACAAATTCCAATGCTGTAGTGTCCAGGGATAAGCATCTGATCTCTTCCTGGGTGTCCCAAGATAATGGATAGCAGCTCAGGGTCCTCATTGAATTCTTCAGTCATGGGACTATGTGACACTTCAATTTGAGCACACTATGAAACTCTTTATGAACATGAAATACGTTTCATGCGTAGATGGTATGTTCTACCTCACTGCAGATTTGTCTTTGTTTTAAAAAGTCCGCAATGTATATAAAACAGAGGGACTATAATACTGCCTCCCCTGCTTTAAACTTTAAAAGTTCATTTACGGTTAATRCTATTGAGAGGAGAGTTACGCTCAACTGCAGGCAGATGTGAAAACTTTGGACAGGAAGCTTCCCTGCCGAAGCAGATCTGACTTGCACGCCGAGCGAGCGCGCCGTGCAGAAGGCAGAGCGGCGAGCGGCCGCTCGCTGTGCGGGCTGCAGGAGGATCAGGTTGCAGTTCAGCCTGCAGCCCGGCACCGCACCCCCGGGTTATCTGCAGCGTGACTGAGCGCAGGAGAATCCTGCTCGGCCCTGCCGCAGGAATTCTCTCTCTCTCATCCCAAGGACAGTTTCCAGGAGCTGGGTGAGTGCTTTGCAACAGACATCCTGTTTTACGTGAGTAGTATCTTTTCTTTAGTGGTTAGAAAGGAGTTTCTACTGCCGTGTTTTCTTTGCCGTGTTAGATGCAGCAGGCAGATGTTTGAACTCAAAACCCAGCACTAAGTGCTGCAAAAAAATTTTTTTTCCGCCCCTGTAAAACATGAAACAGCAGTGAAACGCATGGAACTTTCTTGTCAGTAATAGTGTTGCTGTTTGGCTCTGATATTCTGAGCTCTGAGATAGCTTAAGCGGTTTGAGAGAAAAAGTGAGCGTGCTGATTTGGATCAGTGAGCTGGAGTTGACAAAAAGCTCTCATTTTTCAAACACGGCGTCCGCAGCAGTACCTTTGAGGGAAGCCTGCTTCAGGTGGAATTTTCTGCCAAGATTCGCAAATCTAAAGCATATAACACTTGAAGCGATTAATGTTTTGAGAAATATCACAGCATTTTAGGTGAACCAGGTTAATCCGATGCTAATGCAAAGCAGATGGACTCAGGAGGTTTATTGAAGTTTTGAGGAAACTGAGAATCCGTGAAGGGGCAATGAATGAGACTAACAGACCTTGATGCCAATGTAAAATGAAGAACCAAGCAGAAACTCAGCTGTGTGGCTTGTTTGGTTGGTTCTTTTATGTAATATTTTGCTTTGAAGAATCAGCTTTAGTTTCAATTTTAGCAGCCGTGATACAGAAAAGGCTGATTCTCTTCTGTACTTAGAACATATAGCTAAAATACAGGTAATTGAAGTATAGCTAAAGTAAGGAGCAAGAGGTACAAAGCAATGGGAAAAGTAGGGAATACGGAGAACAATAACAAGAGGGACAGGGGGAGTGTGTGAAAGGTCGGTGTGACTCAGTGCTCTTAGAAATTAGTCATCAAAATGCTTCATGGAAAACATGTAAAGATATAAACCTTCCTTCCTGAATCTCATATGGACAGATGTAAAGACAGGAAGCCCAGCTGCCGGTTTGCCTTTCTCTTTGTAATCCTCGTTTCTTTAACTGAGAGAGTCCACAGCTCCCTGTGAAAGCAGAAAATTGTAGCCACTGTAAATTAAATTGAATTATGGTCTAAATTAAACTGGAGACCTGCAGTTGCTATTAATGACTATTAAGCAGTTTACTTTGTGCATAATGCTTGCAGTTGGAGCAGTGCTGAGGAGCTGTGGATGACTAAACACTCTGCTCTGGCCTTGCTTCCTGTGCAGTATGTCCTGTGTGAAATGGGACATAGCAAGTTACGGCCATTCCATAATTTAGGCTAGATCATCCCCTACTTTAAATTGAAATAAACTAATCTCTATGTGCATGATTTCACTGTGTATGCTATAGTTTATAATCTGGAGATATAAAGTATTTCATCCTTCAGGATAGTTTATAACCTCCAAAGTCCATCTGTATACTCATGCAGTCCTCGCTTACTAAGTTCCTTATGAAAACTCGCTTGTAACTCATCCAGCTAATCCTCTCAGTGTTGAATAACATACTGGCAACTACAGTTTTATAGTCTTATCTGAAGACGCTTTGAACAATTTATGATACTGAATTTATGCTTAATCTCATCTGGGAGTTAATATCAAAAGTCTAATGGTCAAAACTTATTCATGCTTTTATGGTTGAGTGTCAGGCTGAAAGGAAGATGAGATATATGCAAAACGGAGGCAGAATTTTTGTCGCGGAGGAAATTTTAAGAGATCAGGGAAAAGGTGGTCCAAATATACAGTAGTATGGGTAATAGTTTGCAAAGATACATAAGAAAAAGCTTCAGAACAGGCTATCAGAGAAGATTGGGCCTTTAGATAATTTTAAATCTTAGCTCCAGTTTGATTAGAGTAAAGTCAGTGCAGGAGAAAGCCTGGATTCAAGATTTAGCTTTGGGGGCTGTTCATGTGTTTTGTGTTTTTTGTTGTTTTCCTGCAGTACCTACCTGTTTTGCGTTAAATGCAGAAATGGAACAAACACTAGCCTGCGCTTTGGTAGGCCGCTTATTTTTAACTCCACTGATATGTTTTATGCTTCTTTTAAGCTGCTTTTTTTTTCCCCCTCTGTGGATCTTGAATTCCTTTCTGCACAGAGGGAACGCTGGCTCCTCTTACTCATAGTTGCGCACAGCCATGAAGTGAGGACAGTTTCTGGAAATACAAATAATGAATCTTTTTGGGTCAAAAGAGAAATTAACCCTGGGTCTCATTCTGGGAAGCTGTTCTCATACTCTCTTTTATCAACGGTGCTAACTGTACGTCCTCCTTTTCTGCATTTCAAAGCCAAGTAGTAGCTGCTTGAAGTGTGTTTTGCTGGTGTGTGTTTGGTGGGTTCTGAGAACATGGCCCAAGTGAGTCAGAGCGTGTGCAAGAAATGAGGCAGGAAATCAGAGAATTAGGAAAGCCTAACACTGGTAGAGCTTAGGGGTTTCAAGAATTAGATGATGCTTGTGTGTTGTAGTTACTGTCTTTGAGTCTTAAAATAAAAGTTCTAAAGAAAGCGGAACCGAATAGGTGTTTTAGCAAAGATTTCTGTGAACTGGGATCTGGATATCTAAGGCTTTTCCTTACACTTAAACCAGGAAAACGGTTAAGCAGCAGCATTGCTATTCTAATAAAAGCACAAATTACCTTCTGCCATGTGTTTCCTATGAAACTGTGTACAATAGATTATGGGACAGAGTATGCCTGGGGACTGCATGAAGCAGAACCATATGGAGAGTTGTGTGATTCCTTTCCTGACGATTATTTCACAGAAAAAAAACCTTCTATTTTTAGTTGTCTTAATTTTCTCTTGTGCCTCCTTTTTCCTTAACTACTTCCTGTTGCTGTCAATACGGTTCACTTCTCATTTTTAGTGCTACTGCCACCTCCCCTCACGTGAGCCATACATGACTGACTGTACCCCTGAAGCCACCTAGTTAGCTTTATTTGCTATCCAAATAAAACAAAACAAAGCAAAGCTAGGCCTGTGAACATGCTTATTGAGGATATCATCTGGGGGCAAGAAAGTTGAAGGATCTCTTTCCAAAAAACAAATTGTCCCAGAAGAACTGATTTTAATATAATTATATTGAGAATAGAAGTCATAGCAAATAGATTAGAAATATAAACATTATATCAAGGAAATACTTAGCTGATAAGTTTGTATGAACTTAACAGAAAGGCCTACAGAAGTTTATTAGCATTTTCTATAAACATTTGTACTTCCTCTTTGGCTGAAAAACAATCTTTTCCCTCTGTATTTGTGCAGCCTCCAGCACAATGAGGTTCTGGCCCGTGACTTGAACTTTTATGTGTCAGAGAAATGTTATTTGGAAAGGAGTAAGAGAGAGGTGGAGGGGAAAGATCAGGCTGAGGCTGCCTGTGGTCTTGGTGTAGTAAGAAGCTGGCCCTGCCATGAGAATAGGCTGCACTCGCCTCCCATGTGGGACACTGTCCCATTCCTTGTCCTGTTCCTTCATTGTCTTCTGCCTCCTCCTCCTTTATGCTGAAAGTAAAGCAAGGAAACATTAGGATGTTATAGTGGGTTTCAAATTTTGATCGTGAGCTTGTGTAAAGAGAAGAGTCTTATGCGTTCAAAAACATCCAAAGGGACGTCAAGTAGGACAGGTAGTGTTCTCCTGTGCCTGTCCATTGTATTTTCAATAACTGGCAGCTTCAATTTACACTTCTTTCACTTTACATTTCTGTGGTGTATGCAATGTGAAACCGCACTCAAGTGATAACAAATATACCCTGCCTTGTGACTTTGTAACAGCTGAAACTTCTAACTATGTAGTATGCTTTGCCAGTCAATACTGCTGACAGGAATGCAGGTTATAGACTTTATAGTACAAACATTTATTACTGAACTGCCACACTCCGTTTCTAGAAGTACAACTGATATTGCTGCTTGCCTGTGTTATTTCTTGCTTTTGTGCTCTGAGGGTAGCTATTACTGGGATACTGAGGGCATTCCCTGTTTGAATGTGGAATTATATGACCTATGACCCCGCTGTCACCATGTAGTTTTTGTCCTTTGCCTAAGCACTGTGCTGCATTACACGGTGCTTGGACACATCTCTCTGTGTTTAGTTTTCTTAGTCTATTCAGTGCAAAGAGCTCATGGGCTGCATTTTGGTCAAAATGTAGAGTTTACTTTAATTTATCAGTTTGGATGCATCTTATCTTGCTGGTGAAGAACATCAGTGCAGTTTCTTTTATGCTAAAGATACCTGGTGCAAACAATGTGGGTTTCATGTTACCAAGAACAGAAATAATTTTAATTACTCATCAGCCTCATGCATGTAGTTTTGAGGCTGAGCTAGTGTTTTCAGGTGTAGGAGGCAGATGCACAAAAAGTTTGTCCTGGCATTTGGGCTATACTGTCTATAGGATCTACTGGTTCTTAGGTCCATCAGCTTCTTGGCTGACAATGCTAATTGCTGCTTCAGGTTGAAAACACAGATCCAAATACTGTCTGGTTTCCCACCCAAGTGCGATGTTCCAGATGTGGTTTGGGTGTTTAGCAAAGCATAGCACATTTACATGCAATAGTACTTAAGTTTACTCCAGGAATGCCATGGGTGGACAAGGACAGGCAAGTGTGTGGCATTTGGTTGAGTGCCAGCAGTTAGAGCTGTGACATGGTACATCTCAAAAATGTATTAGAGGTTTTTATTTTTATGCCTATGTAACAGCAATATGTATATATTTTACACTTTGAAAGATGATTAAGTAAATATACAGTAGAATTATTTTCCAAGGCATTTCACAGCTTATAGATCTTGTTTTAATTGCAGTGAAGAGTTGGCTAACAAAGTCTTTGATGGTTTGAGGCTTATCAGGAATTCACATTTCTGATCTTCCTTGAATCCTTGAAGAACTTACCTTACCCTGCTGCTGTTGAGGTGCTGTACAGCTGATTTTCTTCCTGCCACATGAAAAGGTTAAGTTTGATTGTAAAATATTCCTGGTACACACATAGTACAGTGGAGAAGAAGCTGTCTTACAAGCAAGCAGTGCTCAATGCTGAAGTGAGCATACATACATACATATATATATATATTCACACACATGCACAAGCACACATATAGGTATACAAAAAAGACATCTTTTTTTCCAGGATAAATTGATCAGCATCTTGATAAGGAATAATGCTGCAAAGTACAGGATTTTTTTGTTGTTCCTGGTAGCAGTTTCTGTGCTTGTTCCTTTCTTTGTTTATTTGTTTGCTTGTCATGATGTGCTTCAAGTTACGCTGAGGAAGGGAACTTTTATTAACTCCTTGCAGGGGGTGGGTTTGGGAATGTGTTGAGGCTGCAGGATTTCAATAGTCTGACACTAATCAGCTGTTCCTAACTTTAGTGAGTCAAACTGAGTTCAGAAAATATTTTGCCTAAGCTGCAATTACCATTTGAATTTAAAAGGACACAGTTTTGCAAAACTGATAAATTATAGCATTTCTCTTAYGTTTACTACAGTAAATGAGCAAATATGTTGCTTTAAACAGCTGTAAGATGGAATCTGTAGTAAAATGCTGTATTTCTCTAAGCAGCCTGCTGACTTGCCCAGATGTGTGACAGTTACAGGTATAGGCCGGTTAATTCCCTGCTATGTAAGTCCTTGTAAATGACGCAAGACATCCTAGGGTAAATACTTTGCTTTAGCTTGGTGTAAGGAATAATTAAGCTACAGAAACATTTAAGCATTTCAGTACTAATATCTTTACCACCAATCCATTCTTTTCCCACATGGCCTTGCACCCGACAGTCTATTGGGAATGTATGACCCTGAGGGATGGTTTGCAGGAAGATAAAGGAGATTATGTTCTGTCTTTAGTCTTTGTAAGAGGACAGATGTGCCATTACACAGCTTATGTTTTCCCTCTTGGGAGATTTCCCGTTACTTTCAACAAAAAGCTGTTTTCAGGGAAATGAAGCAGGGAGAAGAGCAGAAATACTGAAATGCAGTAAGATTTTCATGTAGTTCACAAATTCACTTATTTATCCCTAGACTTGCAGGCTGATAATCATGAAAGATAACCCATGAGGTAACAAAATTTTATTTTAAAGAATCATGTCCAGATAATCAAGAGACATTTACTGAGGTTTTTCTGTTTGGCTGATTGATTCCTGTATTGTATTTCTTTGCTTTGTTGTGTTTTTCTTAAGAACAGACTTGGGGGAATTTTGAATGGTTGAGTAAAGATGGAGTTCTACAGTCCTGAAGCTATATATTGCAGTTTCCTAGGAAGGAAGGATCAAGGCCTAATTTTGAATGATATAAACCAAAATCAAATAGAATTTTCCCAAGCTAGTGGAAACTTTGCCATCGTGTTTGGAAGAGCACAGGCATAGAGAATGAGAGCTGAGTGTCCCACTTGGAGTTAATCCAAGGGCAACTGAGGTTGTGGGTAATTTCTAGGCTCTTTCGAGAAGAGGCTCATGACCGTGCCAATGATTGCAAGTTAAGGCTTCTAGGGAAATGAAAGTGCTTATAAAATGCACGTTTCCCATGTCCAAAAGAAATGCTCAGAATCTCCTGAGGAGAACACGTGCTGCTGCAGCCCTCAGGAACCAAAACTCTCAAAGGAAGCACCTGGTAGGTAGCAGAGAGGGGGAGAGTGGCCAGATAACACTTGGCCAACAGTTCTTGGGGTAGGAGGTAGAGTGCTAGTGTATGTTCCCAGCCAGACCTGGCTGTAATAGGAAAATAATTATCATATGTATTTGTCAGATATATCAGKAAGTGAATTTCAGATAGACTGACAAAAAATGCAAGGCAAATGACTGAGTGGGTTACACAACTTAAAGGCAGTCAGTAGCGTTAAGAAATGTCATTAAATCTAGATGTCTGGCATGGTAGGGTGAGCTGGTAATTGATGATGAAGTTAGCAGATGGAAGATAGCACAATGACATGTTTTTGCTCTGTGGTTTTCAGAGATATTGTGGATATATCCTCTGGCCGAAATGTAGCATTCAGTTGTAAGAATTGTAGTTTTAGTCCAGAAAAGCAAATGCAGGCACTATTGCTTTTTTTTATTWAAAAAAAAAAAAAGACTGTGGCTGTTGAATGTTTTCTAAATTTGTATTTCATAATTTGAGTATTTTTTTATGTGAAGAGTTGTTATTATAGCCCAACTAGAAAGCMGCATTTTTTTAGACATAAAAAATAAACTTAGACAAAGCTGTGTTAAAAATCATGAGTTCTAGAACAAAATGGGTTCTTCAATGGTTTTGAAGTTGTAGGTGGATGGAAGATTTTATATATCACTGTGTGCTTTAAACTTAAAGATATGAAAGACGTGTTCCTTTGCTTAGTTTGGCAGGAAAGCATTCTGATGAAAAACTCAGTGTGCTCATATTTTCCTGTTAAAATAACAATTCCCTTGATCTCTAAACTCAGTTTCTTGGCAGGGGGAACTTTTTTTTTTTTCACAACAAGGAATAGTAAAGGTTTTTAAAGGGAACTATCTATAAATAGTTGTCCAAGTAATTAGTGCTATTCATGATATGCAGGAGGGAAAAATTATCAGGAGAGCCTGGAACCTTCTGGTTAAGGCTTTGCTTTGAGGTTGAAAATACAACTGTGACTTCTGGCCCTGGCACAGTTTCTGAGAGGCTGTGACAAATTTGTTAATCTTTACTGTGTCTSTTCCACCTTCTTGGGGCTTCCTAGCCTTTTGCTAGTGCTTGCATGTTTTCTTGGATACCACAGCTGTAATTTAGCTCTAAATCCATAGCCAAAGTAGTATCACCTAAAGAAAAGTTTGGTCTGTCAAAGGCACTTATTTATGTTGGCTGCTGCTACAGCACCTTCTCCGGGCCTGTTCTGTAACAGTGCATCCCAGGCTCAGTGACTGGTCACCTCTTCTCCTCGACCACCCTGCTGCCCTCCCTGCTTTAAGACCTGAAGACCAGAAACTTCCTCGTCCTTAAACCCTTAACTTCTATTTCATTAAGTATGAAGTTCAGTGTAATACTTTAGAGAGAGGTATATGCATTGAGAGTTTGCCATATGTACTTTCAAAGAAATATTGATGTTACCTTCTAATTAAGGGATTATTAGAGGACCTTATGGTAGTTTGAAAATGTGTTTCAAAAAATACAGCAAAAAATTTTGAGATTTGTTCTTATATGTGCATGCACAATTCAATAATTTAATCTTTGGCAACTTGTGGATACCAGTTGTCATGAAATGAAAGTATCTTGTGATCCTATCTGATAAATGTCTCTACTTAGTAAATGTTTCAATATTAAGGGGATCTTCAAGATAGAAAATAATTCATAAAATGTTAAAGCTCATGCTGCTAAAAGTTCACTAGTTCTTGGAAAATAAAGGTTACAGGAAAGTTCAGGAAATCAATGCTAATTGTTCAAAATAAAATCATACTTTTGATGATGAATCCAGAGTACATGTGGACAGAATGTTTATTGGGAAGGATTAGAAATGTCAATCAATTAGCATAACGTAATTGCTGGGGAGATTAAAAGTATTTGAAATAGAAAACTTCACACTTTATGCCGATAAAACTGACTTAATTATAGCAGCAATGCCTTTAATCTATTCCAAAGATAGGAAGATGGAATTGTAGCTAGCTGAACATGACTAAAAATCTCATCCTGTTTTCCATTGTGCTTGTGATAGAATTATACTGATGTAACTCCAATTATTTCTAAGGCTCACAATTTATATAATTACCTTTGTAGCAATGTACTTCATTGCTAATAATTTTGCACCTCACTCACTTGAATCTAACTGTGTGTTGTCATTTGTGTATTTCATCCCAGGAAAGATGAAAGGAAGAAAGAGGGGATGTTCTTTATCTTTAGCCTTTATCTTCCTGTTCGCCTGGATCATCGGGCATGCAGCTGCTGACTCAGATGATGACAAAGGGGAGGATGACCCAGGTACGAATTTACAAAACATGACATGGAAAGCTCTCAAACAAACCAAAACCCCCTATGCTGAAATGCACTCCAGATGTAGTTTGGTTCTGGAGAACTTGGTGGGGGGGGACTTCCTCAAAGTGGAACTAAGCAAGCAACAATGCTAAAAGAGCTCTGGGCCATTTTTCTAATGGGGATATGCTTGGAATTTGACAATATGAGTCACTGTTAGGACTGGGGAGCTTCTCGGAGTCTTACCCCTAGAGAGCCATTGGTTGTTTTCACTTCAGAAGTGAATTGAGTCCTATTTCAATACCGGGTGTCATTGYGAAAGATTTTGATTTCAACCTAAACAATTTTGAGAAAGTAGGAAAGTGTACATTTGGGATGTTATTAAATTTTCTTTTCTCCTCTGAGAAAWTTCTTTAAAATGGTGATGTATTCCTCAAGCTGCAGAGAACTATCAGTAGATACTTTGCCACTTAGAAGCCTGACTAGGAATGGAACTTCAGGGAAGCTTTTCATGTCGGCACTCTTATTTGTCTGTCATATCTTGTCCAATTTCCAGACAGATTATTTCTGTCAGTCCTTTGCAGGAGTGTTCATTGAGACAAAAATATTAATCCTTGCACGATCATGTCTGTACTACAAATGAAGACAGGGCTTTAGGACTTAGTCATCACAGTTGAAAAAATGAGTCATTCTTCCTTAAGCATCTGCTTAACATCCTTGTGTAACTGGATTGTTTCATCAAGAAGAAATTTGCTTCTCTTTAATCCCTAAACATGTAAATTCCCTTTTCCTATGAAGGTAATATTACATTTGCCTTTGCTCTGCTTATGCAATTCTCTTTAAATAAGATCTCACCCACAGCTGCTGTTCATAAGTGTACCGTAACACACCTGAGCAAAGAGAAAAGGAATTCTAGTTTAATTATTGCAATGTACTGGATTATTTTTTCCGTTTTGTCCCCTTATGCTTTTATTTTAGCAATAAAATAAAAATGTATTTTAAAATAGTTCTTTTCTCTATTCAAATATTTCACAACCAGTCATTTAAGTTTATAGAATTGGAAGCTAATTGACTGAGGAACAGTTCTGAATGCTCAGCTCCAAACTAAGAAAACAGTCAAATGTGATGCTGAGTATTCAGCTGTTGCTGTTTTTGTGACTACTAATGATTCACTTGAAGTATTTACAGAAATGTATCTGTGCAGTGTTCTGGTAATATTTCTATATAAGAATTAGGTTGCTGCTACTTAAAATTTCTCCTGTAGTTCCTCAGGAGTAAAATTTTGTTACCAGCGAATTTAACTGCAAAATTTCATAGGCTGCAGTTTCACTGATAGCATTTGTTTTCTGACATAAACAGTTGTATAATATTGAAATATTTCACCACAGAGATGCATTAAAATACACATGTATACATATACGTTACATATACATTGAAATGTATATGCAACATGAGGTGTGTGCAACCATTACAGATAATTTCATACTTTCTGATCACATTGAGTACAAGTGCTATATAAAAGTTTCTTTGGTGTATACTTGTTACTATTTAAATTATAGTAATAGTTAATATTACAAGCCAAGTCCAATAGGGTAAAAAGGATTTTCAGTGTCTTCTCTCTTCTGGCAATAACATTGTCATTTCTCCAGGAATCAATTACAACAATAAAAATGAAACATACATAGAACACTTGATTTTGTATGCTATTCAGTGATACCACTAGTGGTTGGGAGCCCTGTAGTTGATGTTCCATCGTCTAAAGCAAATGACTCATAATGAGCTCAATGTGCTTTTTATTCTAATATGAAATTTTATCAAAAAATAATGTAACTGTTTAAAAGAAAGGGTAGGAAACACATGGTTAGGAAGAGCACTTGCTGTATAGTGTGTGGGCGGGAAGCTGTCAAATTAAACTGACAAAGATGGAGAAAGAAAAACCAGTTATTCATTAGTGACAAGGTGCTTAGTTTTGATATCACTTATCAAAGAAAGACATTTACAGGGAAGCCTGGAAAAATGACAACCAATCTTTAAAATTAAGGATAGCCACAGAAACTTATATAAGTGTGAGACCTTGTAACTTAAGCAAACATAACAGAAAATTTTCTGTTTAAAACTCAGTAATATCTCAGTTTCAGTTCTATACAGTGAAGAAGCTTAGTTCTATTTTAATTTATATAGTTTGTTCTAAAAAGCATCTGCAGTAATGCTGTTCTATTTCATATTTATTGTGCCATGGGTATAATGCAGAAATCAATTCCCTTTCTAAWTGAAAGAATCTATCTTTAACCTGCAGCCTTACAGATTATGCTTAGGTTCTTAAAGTCTCAGGTTATGTCTGAGGAAGAAAAAAGTACTGTTTTTACTTATACTAAGGTAAGAGAATTACGGGGAAAAAAGCAACTAGTATTCCTGTGAGATGTTATTCACCAGTTATGGTTTTATAATATTGCTTACTAGCAAAGTAGTGCTAATTAGTGTTGTTTAATAATAACGTTTGCTTTTATCCTCTAAGTTTCATGTGTCCAGGGCTATTGTGTGACTTGTGTCATACTGTTTTCTCTAGAGGGTTTGTGCTGCTGTTACTGCACGTCAGTGAACAGGCAGTAACTATGCTTTGAGCTGCATCTATGCTTTGAGCTGCAAAAATTGCCAAGTGAATAACATAAATGCAAGAACGACTGTGCTGTATTTGAGCTGTCTTAGCTATCCCATGGTTGAGCTATCCTGTTCCTCGCAGTTGCTGTAAGCAGAAAGGCAGGAGAAGGTAGTGACATAAAAAGTGTGCACTGCACCTGTGCTCATCTGGAGCTGTTTCATCAGCTGTGCTTTGCACTTAAGACAAACTATGGGCTGTTTAGAGAGTTACAGCAGAGCATCTAATGCTCTGTATCTTCTGTCATGTCAGCTTACTGTGTATTTCTCCTAAAACATATTACATATTTGTGGTTGAGTAGTACAGTCCTATAATTTTATAGCCTTTTTAAACTTTTTAAAAGTTTTCTTGGATTGGATAACTAATATAAATCCAACAGTGCAAGATCTGGTGTAAAGGCCTTAAACACATTTTCATTTTAAAGAGATAAAGCTAAATACTATTCAAAAGTGTGAAATGGAAAATAACTATCTCAGTACCTATATAATAAGGCTATACTGGCTGAAAAACAAGCAGAGGTTATAGAACATTAAAAAGAAAATGTGATGCTCTTACAAAGGCGAGTAATTTATTGATGTATTAAGAAAAAAGAGGAAAAAAGAGGTATTATTCAACTCTGTCAATTAGGCCTTCGATGTAGTATTATACTTGGATAGCACACTTAAAACAGTCTAGACTAATTGGAAAAGATCTAGAGGAGGGCACCAAGGACAATGGAAAAAGAGAATTGAGTAAGGGAGTTTACTGAGTATGGAGATATTTGAGAGAAGAGAAGGTTCTTTCAAAAGCAGATATTGGATGGTATTATATTATTCTTCCTATGTGCTGAAGGGATGCTGAAATTAATTTGCAGTGAAGTAATATGTAGGCTGTATATTTTGCCTATTTTGTTAGAAAGATAATGAGAAAAAAGAGAGCCTATTTTGTTAGAAAAATAACGAAGTATTGGAACCTCGTTGCGAATTTTACTTAACTGGAGGTTTTTGGATATCTGTCAAAATGTCTCAATGTATTTATCCCGTCAAAAAATATGGTAGGGTATTTTGTTAAAGTTCCTTCCAGGTTTAGATTACTATCTTCTATTGAAAAAGATTAGCTGACCTTCTTAGTAGTCAGCTTCTCTAAATGTCACATATTCTGCACATCACACATGGCCTAAAAGGGAGTAGGAACAATTTGTCTGGAATAGATCTTGTACTAAATGCTGGCTTTCTCAAGATAAATTCCAGGTGTAAAATAGAGATATGAAGATTTGTGTCTATGCAGATCTAGCCACTCATGCTTTCCTTCTCATCTACTGTTCCTGCCTGAGAAACAAAACTAATTTTAGATCCATCTGTGTGAGTTGTGTTCCCAGGTGTAAAATAATGGGGAAGAATTCCATCAGTGTTCCAAGGCACAAGAATGACTCAGTTCCCTCAAATCCCTTAGAGATTACTGTCTTTACTGTCCTTTGGTTATTGTTCAGAGGGAGATGGTTTGGTCCCTCAGGATTTGCAGAGCAGATATTTATTCAAAGTATGGTGATCTGCTAGCACTCTTAAGGAAATAAGTGTGTCTACTATTTCATAGTTTGCCAAAAGTAAGACACACACTCATTATGTTTGCAGTAGAAGTCAGTGTGTTTCTCAGTGGTTTGAGTGTCATTCACTCTGACTCCCAAGGAAAGGCCTTAGGAGGTAAGGAAAACAATGATTTAGTTTTTGGTTCTGTGAGTTTGATGGGAACTAGGCAAGGAGCTAAGACCAGAAAGGTTCCAAGGGAAACTATCCTACGCTATTACTTCATCTTTGGGAAGTTTCACAACTATGCATGCACACTGTTTCTGTTTTGATAGCTTGCAACATTGGTTTAGCGTGATGTAGCAAGCAAAATGGGCCAACATTGTCTGAAATTCCAGGAGTTAGGAAATMGGGGAAGTTTTCACAGCATCTTCTAGATGAACTGAGTCAGTGACACAGCATTTTGGAGATGATTTCCCCATGGATTTTCTCAATGTAGATGTTGTTCAGAAATGTCCACAGGCTCCCATGCATAAGCCAGCATCTGTCGCTATTTTTGGAGAGTGTGATGAGGACTTAAAGCTTATGATATGAGCTGTTTTGGTTGAAAAATGCAGTTTGTTCGGAAATTGCAATCCCGTTTCAGTGAATGGATCCTGTATTCCAATGAGGCTGAAAATATTCTCCTTGCATCAATATTTCAGGTGTTCAGAACTTGACATGSTGTGCCTCTCGAACAGACAGGCACACGAGCTCATCTTGAAGTCAGGCTGTGCAGTGAAGCAAACTGATTTCCTAGTAATTATGGAACTTGCGCTCTTTATCACAGGCGCTGCTTTGCCACCGCTGAAACTTGGACATTCGATTTGTGCCCTGAAAGCAGACGAAGGTCCGTGCAAAGCAATCCACATGCGCTATTATTTCAACTTGCAAAGCCGTGAGTGCGAAATATTCGAGTATGGAGGATGCTACGGCAACGAGAACAACTTCCTAACGCTGGAGGAATGTCAGGAGACRTGTGTGGTAACAGGTCAGAACCCATTCCCCTATTAGCTCTTCATTTGTATCTGCTAGTTGTCATACACAAGCCATAGGGATTTTGGAAGGCCTCTTCAGTTCCTATAGCTCCTGTAGYGTGCGGCCTCTGTGCTCCCAATCATTAGGCTTTGGTTGGCTATAGTCACCTGAATTCTTCTATATCAATGGTAAGTATATCTATTCTTTATTACTTTTAGAATATCTATTTAAGATATTCTAATAAATAGACTCTAATATCTGTCTGATATTTCCGAATATTCCTGATCCCCAATAYATCCTTCACAGAGAAGTGTATACAAGTTGTCCAAAATCTTGGACATCTACTATGATTCATCAAAATTAGAACTATGGTAGTAAATAATTTTCATTAAAAATGTCATATAGCTGTTTGTTGGGAGAGAGCTTTCATGACAACTTCATGGAMACTTCATACATTTTTTATTAAGAAAATGGCACCCAAAGTAAGATAGTTAGCAAAATATAACCAAAGTGTCTTATGAGTGGGGGTTTTGCCATCAGAAATGATCCTCATAGTTACCTAAGGCCTTTGGCCTTGTGAAAGTAGATAAATGGTCCTTCACAAAGGTGTATGGAAGTGAGAGGTTCCTTAAAGTTTATGTCAGAGGAGCTAGAAACATGGCAAGCTCCTTATTTTTAGAGATTTAAACATTCAAGTCTTCTTTACAGGGTCCTCTTGTGATACCTAAAGTGATCTTGCTCTTATGAGATTCAGGTAGAGTGTGTCTGTGTTAAGAAGGAAGTGATGGTGAGAGAGACCAAGGGACAGAACAACAATAGGAAGACAGTTTCAGAACAGCCAACCTCTTAAAAGCTGAGTGGTAACACTCAGGTGATTCACCAAGTATGTTTTTCCCTAGTAATTTCATACACTGGATATTACTGATGGYGATAATTTATAGAGTAAAGCAATGGTAGTTTCTTCAGTGGGACTCAGTATAAATAATACCAAAAGCTTAACATGGTGCATTGTATGGGAGCATAATTTTTTGGGGGAAAAAGTGTTATAGGAAATAACCAAATCCATCCTTACTAACAGATTTTGACTGCTATTGATCCCTTTATATTTCCTGGATAGGAGTCTTCATGGTTTTAGTCAGTCACTAAATATTATTTTTGAGTATTTAACCACTTAGRCCTGTTTTCTGATCTGCTGGCACCCCCGTGTGGCTTGTTGTTGAATTTGATGCTACAGAGAATCCTCTCAAGAAAGTCATCCTCACCCTAGAACTACTGCTTCACAAATGCGAGCCTTTAGTTCTTGTGTTTGTGTGTTTGTAAAATCGCTGACAGATGGAAAAAAGGACATCAAGAAATGTCTTCAGCAACTTGTCAAAAAGAAAATAAAATCTCATCACTCCCCACTACCTGACTGAGCAGTTGTCTTTCAGTGCTCTGAGGATTGGTTTGATGCTGTCTTTTAATGACTTCTGGTACAATCCACTAATGATCCTGAGAGCAGAGCTGCTTCAAAGAAATGGCAAGAATTAGTCAGCATCTCACTCGGTTTTCGGGAGCCATATGTAGGTAAATGTAATGTTTAGGGTATTTAAGGCATTTGTTGACATAACGCATCATCAAGGAATAATGAAATGATATTGTAATTCCTTAGTTGTTAAAAACCACCATTATTTCAAGTCATAAAAGAGATCATGTAAAGAATCTTTCTGAACATTAATATCTTATGCTAAATGCAAGCAAACCTGAAGTCAGTGAATCTCAGTCTGTGTGCATCTAAAATGGGWCTTAAACCAACTCCTACTGAATTGACCAAGAAGGGTAGAACTTTTAACTAAAAGATCTGATTGCTTTCCATGTTGAAGGCTCAGATACTGCCAGAAGTGCAGATTAGTATTTTGGTATTTGCTCAGATATGTGTATTTGTTCCTTTCAAAATTAATTACTGCAAAATTGTTCTCAGTATTTATTGTTCTTTGTCTGGAGGACATTATTTGTGTCTTAGGGTTTTTTCAAACCTGAGTAAAATAGATACTTAATTCAGAATTCAAGTGCATGTTCTTAAATCCGTTTTAAGAAACTGTTGGATCGTTAGAATGATGACAGCTCTTATTAGAAAATCAAACAGACCAGAAAATCGGTGCAGAAAAAATGAAAGATCTGAGTTGTGCTTATTCAGTATATAAAACTAACATGACTGACATTTCAGTCCTTCCCTCAGACATTTTGTTTTTACATTGCTGTGGATTGTCATGTCAAAAATTCTGTCTCATTGTCCTGTTCAGAACTGAATTATCAGTATTTAAGGACAACAAACAGCCTTGTGTTGCTTATAGTGCAGTTTATAATCATTAACACCTTTAGATTTGGATCTGGTTTCTTGGAGGTAGGAATAGAGGTAGGAATGTGCTGCTGAAAAGCCAGGAGCTGAACTCTTGCTTCAGCCTTGGACTGAAGGCAGCCACCCACTAAACCAGATGTAAAAGACTGCTAGATCATTTAACATTTGCTATTCATCACCTCAGAGGTTTACAGCTACAGAAACTGATATGTTACCTATATTTAACTCAATCTATGTGGATTTTTGAGTAGGAATTAGTGTTACTTGTTATGTGTTAGTCTAGAAGATGTCACTCTAGCAAACCAAATCATGTTATTTTTATGAGCAAAGAGGGATTAATGTAATTTTTAATAATCTTAAAATGTTACTCAAGTTGTGTCATTAATATTTGTCATAGTAATTTTGTGTTTACCTGAAAGTGGGCTTTCTGTACTAAAATTCTTTCTTTGTAATGCAATTAAACAGTTTCCATGAGTCCTAAGTTTATATCAGGAACTTAACTGATCTTTTCTTTCCATGAGCAATGAACTCAAAAGGTTCTTTCCGTATTATTAAACTTTCATAACAGAAATTAATAAAAACTTGCAAATGAAATCCACAGTTAATATATACATATATGCAAGTTTAAAAATGGGTGTCAGCAAGATGATTTGAAAGAAAAAAAAATGCCTTTAAAGGTGTTTTTCTCGCTGCTGTAATGCTATTCCACGTTTGGTTTAGACAGTTGTGATTAATCTGTTTCTAGTTATGGTTCCACAGATTCAACAAATACAATTCTTAAAGACAAGAACTGGAAAGCTCTTTTTCTTGATTAGCATCCAGTGTAAGAAAGACACCAGATTGACTTTCGGCACTTCTCTTATGTGTTTTTGGATTTCAGCTGAATCCACAGAATTTTTGTCTTCCTCAAATCAGGGTGGCCTGCAGACAGCAGCTGCCAGTATCTCATCCAACCACACAGCTTCCTGGCAACTTGGAATGCTTGCCCTAAATTCATGGATGCAGAACTTGTAACAGAGTACACAAAAGTCATCATCGGGTGCCATGGACAAAATCTACTTTCTCAGTTTAATATTACTATTTTGATCAATGGTGGTGTTTTGACCTTAATGTACCTTTTGTATTGAATTCTGAAACAGATCTTCTGGAGCAGATTTTATACTGGCATGTAACTGGCTTAACTCCATAGAATGAAGCTGAAAGTTTATTTGAATGACATGTGGCTTTGTRACTGTGCATTAGTGTTCATCCTGAGGTACAATATTTGGTCATCTGTGCTCTGAGAACAACTAGGAGCTGAAGCAGCGTGGACCCATCATGTATATTCTCTGAACAGATAATGTCAGATAAAATGGTTTGGTGGCACACAAAGCACAGGGCAGACTCAGCCATAGACCTATCAATTTAATCCTCCCTTGCCAACGTAATTAAGTAAAACTAAGTTCTCTTCATTAAATAGGTCTCTGTGCAGGCTCCTGGTACAYGGCTTTATTTGTTTTACCTCAGTGTTTCCAATATTTATTACTGAGGAAAGATCTCTTAGTAACTTTGTAGAAATCAGAATGAAAAGAAAATTTAAGTGATGGAAAAATGCCTGAAAATAAAGATATATCTAAGAGATGCACAGACTTTTCCTTGCTGACCAGTTTCTTCATTCTCGGGATAGAATCTAGATACACAAGAGGTCGTGATCATCCATGAACTAAATAAAGGTCAAGTCTGGTTTAAAGAAATCTAAGGGGAAGTTGCGAGATTTATGAACTCAGAAGAAATAGCTGAAGTAGTCCAAATGTCTCATTTTCCATTAGTAAGCACAATGACGAGTAGTGAGTTGACCTGAGTGAATTGCTAGACTTCTTAAATCAGAGTGACTTCAAAAAGAAAAAAAGAAATCCATGAATTCAATGAAAGAAACAATCAAGTCCCAAATTAATTAATGTTACCGTAAAAGAGCTCCAAATGCGTTTTCTCTCTGCTCCAGGTTGAACACTCCAAGTCTTTCCAGGGCAGAGTTCTGATTTGTGATGCAGTCTCTTAGAAAAAGTCACCACTTCAGAGACAAAAATTACTGTTAAGAGAAATTTTCCAGTATTCCCAATTTGTTATTACATATGAGTAGCATCACACATGTCAGTGCTTGCACCAAGTTCCTGATYGTCAAGGCAGCGACTATGTATCCGAAGAAGACTACCTCACCTTTTGCACATGGCAAAATATCTATTGGTAAAAGGTTCTAGATATGACAACAGTGTTCATGTCTCTTCTTCACTCAGCAGARCTACTCAAAAATATAGTATGTTTGCAGAGAAAAAACTAATTCAGCTGTGGATTTGGTGTTTTGAGTGAAACCAGGAGCAAAACACACCACGAAATTTTTGGTAAGATTAAAAAAATCTAGCTATATATATAAACTCACAATAAAGTTTTCCTGGTTTATGCCAGAAGAGTAGAGATCACATGCCCAAGCAGGATGGGTCATTTGGACAAGGAGGAGACAGCTGTGTCAAATTAGTGAAATTGCCTAATATGAGTGTTCAAAAAAATAATAAATAAAAAAAAAGGTCATGGGTTTAGTGCTGAAGGCACAGCCTGCTACTAACAGGAAGGACTGGAAATATGTTCAAACAACTGATGTGTTGGCCCAGAGTGTGTGTCATGTCTATGAATGATATTTTTTTAAGGATGCCAGCTGCATTGTCCCAGAGAAGGAAGGAAAATGTATCATGAAAGAATTTCTACCAAATATACTTGCTTGAAAATATAATACAAGCCATGTTTCCAGAAGAAAAAAGAAAAAAACAGCCTAGAAAAATAAGCTGTGGTAGGATTATGGCACACAAGAGGAGTACAGCTAAAACTAAATACTCTTTAGTCATTATTAACACCTCTTAAAATAGGTGTCATGCAGATATAACACTGTATAAATGATGGTGACAAATACTTGTAAGAGATTGTTATAAAAAGTTTAAAAAATAAAAGTCTTTTTTCAACCTTTGTTATATATTAACCAAGCTGTCCCTTGTAATCTTGTGATTAGAGAGTCTCTGATGGTTGTGTGGTTTTGAGTGGTTTCAGTTCCTGAAGGAGTGTGAGTTTACATTCAAGTAAAGTACAAGTAAAGCAAGTAAACACAAGTAAAGCAAGTACAAGTAAAGCAAGTGCAGTAAAAGCCAGACTGTACCTTAAAGATGTCAATAGAAACTTCATCCCCCCGAAGGTGCAGTGAAGAAAACTGAAGTACAAGTAAAGCAAGTGCAGTAAAAGCCAGACTGTACCTTAAAGATGTCAATAGAAACTTCATCCCCCCGAAGGTGCAGTGAAGAAAACTGTGCAAACAGGATTCTGTCTATACTACCCTCTGGACAGTTGTAGGTGCTTGACAATGTATTTTAATATCATGAGCAACGTTATGAACACTTTACTTTGACACTACCTGACRTAGTGAAGGAAATTAGATGGCACAGCCTGTCATGAGACTGATCTTCATCACCAACCACATCACCTCTGAAGCTATTAGCACTGTCAGTAGTTACACGGGGCAGCACTTGATTAAGTAAGGCTGCATATTRGACCTATTTTGAGGAGTAGGATTACATATTATAGCATTCTGCTTTTATTAAGTTGGAGAAGAATTTCCCTGTACAACTCAGTAATGGCATCATTTCATTCCAATGTGTTCTGAATCCTCAAGTCTTCTAATACTGGAGAACTGGTATTTGAGTCCTCTGGTAGAACAAACTTTTGAGACCCTCTAATACAGAGAGAAATGGGGGAGGAAGATGAGGTATTTCTCCTCCTCAGCATTCATAATCATTGCTGTGTACTTTGGTATCACATGCAGGTGAGAATTCATCTCTCTGTTAAATATTCTTCTTTGTGTTTCTATTATAGAATATCCTGTGAAGAGGAAGTTGGGAAAATTTAAGAAAGGTAATTATGCTTATTTTTATGTTCAGTGATAAGGGAATTAGCCTTTTTGGTAGACCTTTTATGTATTGTTTTGGCTGTCTCTTAGTAAAAACAGCAATTGAAGTTAAATTTTACTCCTGATCTTCATATTTTGTGGACAGTTGTAGTTACTGAAGATGATAGCTGCTTCCCTCAAAAGTAAGCCTGGTATGGTTGTTTCATCGTCAGCCTCTGGGAACGAGGAAATAGCTTGGGATTCAGGGATGCAAGCCTTATGTGACTAACCATGATAAAGAACTTTTTATAAAATGTTTGGAGAATAATCTAATTACTTCATTTACAGTTAGAATGAGTTTTTCTGTTCTTGCTGAAGCCGACGTGCTTTGGCATTGCCTCTGCAGAGGCTCCAGTTCTCCTCTGCTGAAGCTCCTGACAGGACAGGCTGTTCACACTGATTTAAATGCCACATGCTCAGGCTTCCTAGGTATCCGGTGGAAAGTGCTCAGCTCCTAATTTAAGTCCTGAGAATGGTTTGTGTGAAACACTGTGATCTTTTGAGGGATCTTTTGGAGCTGTCACAAGTTTTTAAGTTTAATACTTAATCTCATGATGATTTATCCCGCCCTGCCTCCTGCTGTGTTTGGGACTCATTCGCACTGGGACCAGTGTTGACAGTCTGAGTTCCCCTCTGCATGATAGTGACATTGCTCATGTCTGAATATTCTCTGAAGCTTCCTTTTTAGGGGTTGCCTATGTGTTACGTCTGATATCATTGTCTTACGTGATARCACGCTGCACAGTTTTTCTGTAAGGCAACTCAGTCAAGAATTATTTTTCGAAGCGTATACATGCAAGAATTTGAGAACGCCTACAGATGCACTTCGTTATCTTTGCATGTTTCTCTTTTAAAATATAATTTAGATAAAATTAAATGTAATGAAAAAATATTTGGGATTATATTTTTAGCTGTGTGGTTTTTTTTACTGTCAGAAGCTCTAATATCCTATCTTGATATTTAATCAAATTATGTTATATTAATTTACTAACTTTTTATTGCTTGATAGAGTAGTTACAGATTGCAGACTAGGAACTGGAACTGAAAAATGATTCTTAGAATAGCTGCTCTGCCTCCCARTTTCCTGTATCTATTTATAGCAGTGCTCTGTTGCAGACAAAATGCATTGTTAGATTTTTTTTKTGTTCCTTTTTTTAAAAAAACAACCTATTTCCTTTTCCCTTCTATTTTAAAATTTCTTTCTCTATAACTCACACTAGCATTAACTAAATAAGCATATAAATAGGAATTTAAGAAAAAAAAAAAGACTAAAAACTAGTTTTCATCTTTCTAGAGCTTCAGCATAGGAGGACACTTCAAGATGTCATCAGTGCTTATTTTCCAGGATATAATTTACTGGATCATGTCTGTTTGAAAACAGAAGAAAAAGCAATACAAGTATCMCTATAATGTTCCAATGCAATTTTGCAAAATTAGAGCTAGAACAAAAGCAGTGCAACAAAGCAGCTGTCTTTAGTCAAGGTTACAGGTTTATTTTGTAAACTTATTTCAATTCAATAGTTGTCTTCAAATATGGTATTTTTTCTTTTCCTCTCCCCGCAACTTTGTTCATCCTTTGCTGTTTGTAGAAAAGCCCAACTTCTGCTTTCATGAGAAAGACCCTGGAATTTGCCGAGGCTATTTCTCCAGGTATTTCTATAACAAAGAGACCAAGATATGTGAAACATTCAAGTATGGTGGGTGCCTAGGAAACCAGAACAACTTTAAGAACTTGGAAGAATGCCAGGCTACCTGCCAAAGCAGCTGTAAGTTGTTGTTGTTGTTGTTATTTTTAGCTTTATTATTGTCTATAAAGAAAATGCTGTATTTTTAAAGCATTTTACAAAGATTAAAAAAGGCAATTTAGTGGACCTAAAAAGTGCAGTAATTCATACCTGAAGCTAACACATTCATAAATTAAAATATATAAGGGATAAAAAATATAAAAGAAAAAAGGAATTTTTTCTTTTTGTAGGAAAAATACACCTATGTATGAAAGCACACAATATTAATTTTTCATAACTTTTCATATTAACGCATATATTTAAATTAAGGACCATGTGATATGTCATTTGAAAGGTAATGTTAGAATACAGGCAGATGGAGAAACTGAAGTGACATCATTTCCAGCCAGAGTTTCCTCATTCCTTGAGGCACTGTACATTTTTCTCTCTAATATGTAATGAGGGGAGAGGTGTGTGTGTGTRTRTRTRTATATATATATATATATATATATATWGAACTCAACTCCCTAATATAAAAGTTCCATGAAATTTTTTGAAAGCATTCTGAAAATAAGGGGGGGAAAATTGAAGGCAGGGTCTTTACATAAGCAGAGACTACAATAACAGGGAATAAAGAAACAGGCCTACTGTGGTCCTCCCACCCAAGGCTTCATAATTTACCTAAGATATGCCAGCTACTTGGCCTTATAATGTTTGAAAATGTAAATATTTATTTATTTACCCTTGCATTTGATTATATTCTTTTCAAACCAGTTCTCCCAGTTAAAAGAAATTCCAAAATAGGAACTTCTATTTTCAATTTTTTTTTCTCTTTTACTGTTTCCTTGCTCTGTGTCGCTGACTTCCCACCGAAGAATCACAACCTGGGGAATGAGAAACGTTCAGTTCCTTCACCTCTGATTGATAGAGCTAGGCAGCTGAGGCAATGCAACAGGCTTTCAGGCTGACCCCAGGTCATCCTTCTGCTTTCTCCTGCTCTGAATTCTTATGCGTTTTTTATTTCAGAATACAGTAACCTTTGTAACACCTCTCTGCTTCTCCAAATACTTCATTTTTTTCACAGGACAAGTACGTTTTCCCATCCCAGGCTCCAGACACTTTTGTTATTGTCTCATGGGCCTTTTTCCAGGACAGTTTCATAATATCCTTTCGGCAAGGGGTATTTAAGCTCATTCAAATTTAGAGTAAGACAGATCCACAATGGTTCCTTTTTGAGAACTTCAAAAAGTGAGACATACAGAACCTACTTTCCCTGAAGCATTTTTCATGGGCTCTGATTCCATTTTCATCTCCTGGATCAAAAAATAGAGAATGCTTTTGTTTCCCCAACTTCAATCAGGAAAGATATCTCCTTGTAAATTTGTATTAACAAGAAGGAGATGATTTAGGATCATTATCGTTATTAAAATAGATCAAAGTACTTTATTCAGTATTGTAGAGATATTAAAATATTGAAACCAATTTTTTTAAATCACTGTTTTCTTCTGCTTTTAGCAAATTTATTGCCAGTTGCTCCAACTGAAGATCACTCAAACACTGTGAACAGTAGTTCCCCAGAAGAAGAGTCCAACCAATTTCCTGGATTTTTTGGTAAGAATTTTTTTCCAAAGTTAACTGTTACTTTCTTTTTTAAATGCAGGGACTCCTCATCTTGTTGACTCACTTTCTGGTGTGTTATAAGACATATATCTTGGTTGAAATACATAAGCATAGTGTAACAAATAGCACTAAATCAGTTTTGTAGCCATTTGGTTGTTAGCAATAATACATATTTTGAAAGAGTTATAATTATAAAGGCTAGATTGTTGCCTAGTAATAAAATAATAGCCGTAAGGTTGTTATTGTTTTCTATTTAAATATTAAATTAATAAAATTAAGGAAGAAAAAAGAATTCGGCCTAACGTTGCCTCCGAACATAAATTTCATATACTTTGGAGGCCTGAAGTAAAGCTTCTTTCTAGTGKTATATGTAACATCATGGAGCTGGGCAAACGGATCCCCATCACCAGTTATTTTCAGAACTTCGCAGTGTTTAGATGATCCATCACTTACTGTCCGCTCTCCTCACTTTTTTCTTTTTTCCTAATTTTAGCAAATTTATTACCAACTGTTCCAAATGAAAAGCAGTCCTCCAACATCATGAATAGTAGCTTCCCAGAGGAGGAACGGGACCRGGTTCCCAGTTTTTTTGGTGAGTTTTTTGCTTTTGCAGTTCTAGCTTTTGATCTGCTAAAGGCAGACACTGCTTTGCTTTTTTCTTTTCCACACATTTCGATATTTCCAGTATATGCAACTAAAGAACAGGTTTCTGTCTGTGTCAAAGATCTTCACTAGCAAAGAAAGTCATGGTAAAGCAATATACTGCTTCTTATATGTCTTCTATGGATATAGGAAATTTAAGCACTGACCAAACCTTGTCCTCTTCTGAAACTGTATGCTTCCTATGAAGATTTAAAGATCAAAATCAAAGACCCAAGTATTGGTGCTCAGTTCTCTTAGTCAAAAGAACACTTTTTCTTTTGCTGTTTGACAGCTGATTTAAAACTACTTTTACCTATAAAGACCATATCTGGATTATGGAATATGGCCAATTTTCCATACTAAGTTCTTGTTTTCACTAAGGTCACATTAAAACCCGTTCTGAAAGTGATTATGGCCAAAGTGAGTGCAAATTACTTTGAGGTCTACTTTTACTACTGTGCTRTGTGGATGTGGGGCACAATGCAAAGAAGATTTGGGACCACAGAGGCTTGCTTTTAACAGTGTCTCTAGCTGGGGGCTGTAYGCTGTAGACCGCTGGTTTTTGTTGACACTGTAAAGGGTCTTTGAATTTGAGGCCTGTTGTTTTTATGATCCACAGTTGTGCAAGAGGAAACRAGAAACAGTTGGAAAAAGACTGAGCATTCCTACCAAGAATTTCTGTTGGTTTTTTGCATTTGCACCTGCTGGTATTTGGGGGGATTGAGTGATCACTTGCAGATTCACTAAGGTTTTTGTGTTTTATAYGGTCTATAAAGCGAAGAGATACAGGACAATGTTTCTGTGTTCTTTGCCAAGAAATATACATCTAAAGAAGCTTGAATGTGTGTTGTATTCTTTTTTTGACGCATTGAGATCACAGGCATTTTGGGTTGAGGTAAGTTTGTGACAGATGGGAGTTTTTTTGTAACATAAAAAGTTATGCTTTTTAGCTGGTTAGAAAAATGACTTTATATAGAACGGTAAAGCTTTTGGAAGCTTGTTTTACTGAAAATATTTGCATGACTGAGGACCTGATAATAAGCGTAAGAACATAATAGTATATACATATCTTGAAGATATTTCCTCACAATATGAACCTCCAATCCCCAAAATAACTAACCTCTAGGAGCAAAAGGGACATATTTCACTACATTGTCTCAGAGGAACCTAAAATGAAGGGTTCTTGGTGGTATCAGGACTACTGAATTTTCTGTCAGAGAAGTTGTTTGAGAGGTGAAGGTAGGAGGTTGGTAGGAGAAAGAGGTTATAAGAATATTAAATCAAAACCACACACATTTAAAGGTTGCTTAGGCAACAATGAAGGGTAAGATTAATAATAGCCTTTTTGTATCTGCCCCTTATTTCTTAAAATTAATTAATATCTTTTTTAGGAAAAAAAAAAATCAAATTTTGCAGTTTGGGAATGTATTCTGTCAGTAAAACTAAACCAGTGTAAACATCTGCAATGTCAGGGGAAGGGGAAGAGAGGAAAAAATAATAATAATAAAAAAACCACACACACACACACAAAAGAAGAAAGAAGCAATGAAGAGATTTGCATTGTCTTTGGTTGTTGTGAAACTTGTAGGGCACYTGAGAAGTTCATCTAGGGTTAGTGATGGGGAGTCCAGTTCCCAACTCCTTTTGAGATGGGCTTCAAGGCCTAATCTCAAAACTTTTGATAAAATTGACATGTGTGAGAAAAACACTTTGCRTTTTATCTTATCAATGTTTTCTGAAAAGGGTTTTTTATTGAAAAATCTTCAATTTCTTGGAAATACATGCTTGGTATCTGTAAAATTSCTTCAAAGTGGAAGGCAGAGGATGAGCAATTGTATAAAATAAATTGGGAAGCATTTCTTTAGGTTTATTAATTTTTGGATTCATTTAATTCAGTTGAGGTTAACATGTAATGATTTATGTAATGAGATATATAATGATTATTTTTTATGGGCTGTCTGCATCTGTGAATGTAAAGAATATGCAGATATAAATATGACAAGGATAAACAGAAATAGTGGGGGGCACTTATCTAATTAGTATGCTAGACAAAGAGCAACATAATTTTCAGCAAGATGTGCCATATGCATTATGTAAGTAATCCCTATTCGTTGATAAACACATCACTATCTGCTAAGGCATAAAACCAATAAAAGACCTTCATGAAAGGGGTCTGGTGTCTCTGGAAAGTCTACGTAACAGATAAGTCATTTATATTACTAAAATATATATTTAAATTCTACTGAATATTTAGCAAACTGATGCAGTTTGCCTCTTTCTCCACTGGCAAGCCTTTTTATTTTGTTCTCTTCAGGTTCACAAATTCTCAGGTTAAAATAGGTAAGTATATTTTCCTTTAATGTTGCTCAACAATGCTTTGAAGGCTAGCATCTTCTCCAGCTGGGACTTTAAATAAAAAAAAAAAAAAAAAAAGTAGTAATCTAATTATCAAATTGGTCCTACAAGACCAAATAATTTGGATTTTTTACATTTTCAGGGTTGATTTTGAATAGTGTAATGTTGATGATAGGGCTCCAAATATATTAATAATTGTCTTTTGCTATCTTATTTTTCCATAAGTCACTGTTCCGTTTTTTCACAGCACTTCATGCTTTTTCACTATGTCATTTCAGTTGTTATACTTAACAGATAAGGTTTTTTTCAGCTGTTACAATATGTGTAAGACAAGTAAAATGTACTTACTTTTGGGGTATTTTCTTGCCAACTTTTTGGACTGAGACAGGTTAATTCATAACTTCTTGCTTTCAGTCACTCATCTGGTTCCCACCTTGTCTCTTCCATGAAGAGGATGTCTTCAGCTCTGTTTTAAGCCAAGTTACTCCTTAAAATTTTCACTTGGTCTTTCTGCAGACCAATTTTTGACAGCTACCTGGCTTTGTAGCTTTAAAAAGCCCATTCGTCTAGCTTCACATTTTCCTTTTATACATTTAGATCTTGGAAATCGCATCCCTATTGCTTTGTGCCACTTACTCTTCAACTTTTGTTACGTTGCCAGCTCCAAGCTTTCTCGTGCTGATTCGTCCTTCCAAGTTTTCTAATAGTTCAACTTATAGTATTAAACTTAGGTCAAGCTTTCCATGTTCACGCAAAAAAAACCCTAAATTTAATAGTACACAAGATAGGCTGGTTTCTCTCACCTCCTGCTTGATTTCAAAATGCCTAACAGCAATTAGGAAAAATCACTTCCTTAATTATCATGCATATTTACCATATTTTTAAAGCTTCCTAAATTTCATTTCTTTTTTTAACRTAGTGTTCATTTGAATCTTCTCTAAATACATTTTGATCTTATCTCCCATTGCAGAGCTACCATTTTTAACACTAAATATGTAGGAAAAAAATCCTGCTTCCAGGTAAGATTTCATTGGCTATTGGACTTTAAAACAAGGATATTTGCTTCCATGTTTTTTTGTAGCCATAAAATGACAGATATYTATGTAAAGTTGTGTGTATTTTCATGTGGACAGAATTAAATTTGCCTTTAAATTTCACATAAATGTGAGCTTCGAATCTCATATATTATTGCCTTTACAGAGAATGTTATTCATCTTTGTGCAGGTCCTTTGTGTGTATTATATGCAATTTTGCACATCCAGTAAACTATTTGCAGTACTGAAAGTAACTGGTAAAATTTTGTTTTTCTTGATATTCCTAGATCCTTCCCCTGTCCCTTCTTTTTGCATGACCCCTATGGAYAGAGGACTTTGTAGAGCCAAAGAGAGAAGATTTTTTTACAACTACGCAACAGGAAAATGTCGGCCATTTCACTACAGCGGTTGTGGTGGGAATGAAAATAATTTCACCTCCAGAGTATCMTGCTTGAGCATCTGCAAGAAAGGTATGGCTTTTGGTGTTGCCACAGGCTTTATGTTTACAAGCTAAACATGCAGGCTGAAAAATTCTTGCAATTTTTGCAAATCACTATTGGCTTGCTAAAGTGTAGCGGAGTTTTAGAAGAGTGTAACAGAGGAAAGACAGAGCTAGAGAGAAAAGGATGGACAGTAAAAGTCTTGTGTACAAGAACAGAAGTAAGACACCCAGGCATTGGTCAGTCATATGAAGACTTTAGGTAAGACAGAATGTTCTTTTTCAAATTTTAAGGAAGTTCCTTAAAAATAAGACTTGTTTCTTTTCTTTTTTATTTCAGATAATCTTGTGTGTGTTTCAGACATGTTATATCTAAACTTTCTTTCTTCATTTTACCTTTAGGATTCATTAAAAAAAGAAGTGGAAGAAGATTAATAAGAATAAAGAAGAAAAGAAAGAAACTATTAGTAAAAGTTGTGGGAGATGAGATAATCACTGAAAGAATCTAACTGTTTTTTATAGAAATGTGAAGTACCTACTACTCATCTGTGAATGAAAGTCCTAAGTGTATATCATTTAAATATATTTACTGTACTGGTTATTTTGATTACATGTTATTAAGTTACTTATGTTTTTATTATGTATTCCTCATTCATTTTAATAAATATTACCTTCTACTTTGGTTAAGACTGTTAAAAATGTAATTTAACTGTACTTGCATAGCAGAGCTGAAAACAGGACAGAATAGGCTGTGTGGGTGTATAACTCAATGGTTAGAAAGTAGTCAGGATTCAGTATAGCTTTATTGGCCTATTATTCTTTTCTGAAAACTGTTTTTGTGCTAAAAACAGCCTAATGCTTGTCAAAAAATAATCACTTGTCAAGTGTGATTATTTCGATCTTAGATTTACAGAAAGTAGTCTTAGAGAAGGTGCTCTTAGTAAGAAGAGGAAATAGGCACTGAGTTTGTTTCTAATTGTATTTCTTTTAGGTCATGAAAGCTAGATGCAACTCCACTGAAGTGCATAGAGTTACGTTACTATAAAATGAATGTGAGATCAGAATCAACCTACCCAGAGCATAAAGAGAATGTTCAAGGTATAGGTTTGTACATCAGTGTGATGTTTACATTTTTTGTACAAATATGATGTTTATAATGATTTAAAAATATAGTTCCTGGGAGTTACTTAATTCTTGTTACTGAAGTAAACACATGGTAAGTCATAATTTCCAGAAATACGTATATGTAAAGAAGAGCAAATTCCACGCGTAGATCAAGAAATAAGAAAAGCTGCTTCAGAGGTAACACTACGCTTACATTACAACTAAAGGTGTTTGGTTTTCTTTTTATTTTTTTTATTTTAAAACTAGCGTGATATATTGGCTAAGTCCCCGTCACTCTCTAAAGTATCTCTCATCTTGTGCAAATCTTTTATAACAGGTTTTTTAAAAGAAAAGGCAAAAAAAAAAAAAAAAGTAATTAGTTTCCTAATATTCTCAGAATTTCCAGCTGTGAAACAGAACAGGACATTTCTCATATCTTCTTTATTGCTAAAACATCCTTGTTATTATATCAACATTTTCTTGTTATGCTTATGAATCAGCTGTGAGAAGTGACACTGCCTTTTGTTAGCTATGTTGTGCATATATGAAAGGATGTGAGGGACTCGGGTACTATAGCAAGGGCCAAGGCAGCGATGTAAGAATAATTCATGAATAGTTGTACTAATCCACCTTTGTATGTACACCATGAATTGCATGCGAGATTTCAGAAAATATATGTTTTTTTATGTGTCTGATCTTTGCAATCTCCCCAAGGAGACTAAGCTTTACTGTTAAAAGTGGAAATATTTATGAATTCTAAAGATCTGAGGGGATAAGTGAAAGTCATGGATTTTTATATAGGAATTCTCTCATAGTCCCATTTCTGATGCCTAAGTTGTTTTGCAGCTCTTTTAGTTTAAGATTTATTAAGTCTGATTTGAAAAATGTTCATGWAAGTGAAAGGTGCACCAAGCTCTTGAATCTTTTCATATGAAATGAGTGCCATGGACTTACAGTGGAATAACTTTATGAATTGAAAAACTGCAGTTCTCACAGGGGAAATCTGTAAACATCATCTACTGCTGAAGAAAGTAGTGTCACTTCAACACATGGAATTAATTTCATGGAAATATCATGAACTGCTGTTTTCAGTTCCAGTTTGACACCTTCCGGTTGTGGTTCAGCGTTTCCATTGCGTGGAACCTTTTTGTACAGAGCGGTTATGAGGAAGGCAGTAAAAATGCCTAATTTTCCATGCCTAATCATTACCATTTCCTATGGACTGACAGGGTTTCTTACTGTGAAGATAACTTTTGTGACAGCAATGTAGCATGATATGCCCAGGAGTGGGGGAGAAGGACGCAGAGCTGATTCTCCAGGTGCTTCTTAAGAGCATTTGTAGGCTCTGCTTCAAGKTTAAAGCAAAAGAGGAAGCCAAAATACAGCTTAGAGCCCCATGTTTTCATATMTTTGAGTTACCCTATATTAAAGTCATTCTATACTAAAGAAATATCATGTGCATTCATTTTTGTATTAGTAGCAATTAGACAATGTTTTGAAGAATCTCTTACATCATTGATGTGATAGAAAAAAGCCATGTGCCACTCCTATTTCAACTGACTTAAAACATATATATTATGAAGTGATTCACCTTTTAGGCTTACTACACAGTGAAAAATAGAGTGAAGACTGGAATCAACTGTTGACGTCTTGAACGTTTCTCATTTTCTTTTAACTATGTAAGAGTATAAGGCTGTTTGCATCTGCAGTAGGATTTGTGGTTAGCTTGGGAGTTGGTTTTTCCCCCTGTATTTGTACTAAGTTTAAGAGATTAATTAAGCAGTGTGGTTTTCTCTCGTCTGTGTACTTCATGTTACATGGCAAGCTGGAGCTTTAAAACATTTTGTTAATATGGATGATTCTTCCTTGAAAATCTTTGCAATTAAATTGCTTATTTATTTGGCTGGCCAGTGACATGATTAGTTGCCAGCATGAAGGAATTAGTTCATGGGATGTTTATGTTTGAAATCTGTTCCCCTTCTGTTCAAAAGAAAGCCTCAGTTCCATTGGAAAAAAACTTTAATCCTATATTAGCAATGTTTGTTATGTCTGTTCTAAACAAAGGATTTTCACAGATCTGGCAAGCTACGTGGATGTAAAGGTCAGGCAGTTAAATGAGAACGGGTTTAGAGAAGGCCTGGAAATAGAGGCTCCTTTTTCTCTTTGCATTTTCTTGTTTTGCATGTTGCATTGAGGGGGTGCTTATTTTTGTCAGTTGCAGCTGACAATTTCCTCTATTTTTCCTCTATAATTGAGAAGTGGTTACCATCCCTTACAAAGTTAAGTTAGTTAATAAAGACTTTCTTTTTTAATGGGAAAAACTACCTGCATTGTCATCTGATTGTATCTTGATCAAATCCAGAAGTTTCTTTCATGCCTGTTGTCTTCGTTCACCTTGTTTCACTGTAGTGTTTTCAGCCCGATATCAGCAGAAGAGGCAGTTCCACGTGTTTCTCAGAATTAAAAGGTGAACATGTATGGGGAATACATGGAACATGAAGAGAGTAAATATGGAATAAGAGGCAGAATGATGAGCAGGTCACAGAATAAAGCGATGCTAGCATGTTGCCAGTGGCTGTGCACTTAGAGTTGACTAGAGCCTTCTCATTCAGTCCTTTCCTTCTAGAATTAGTCCTGGTTGCTCTTCAGGAGCTCTGCAAAGTGCTGTGAGATTTCTCCCACGTTTTATGATGGTAACCAACAGGCTGCGGCAATGAAGGTGCAGAGAACTGACAAGTTTCCATGTATCATCCAACATGCATAAGCTTGGTATGGCTCTGTAGTCCACAGAATTGATGAATTGAAATGTCTTTGAGAAGCAACTAAAGATGTATTTACTCAGCTTGCTTTTTACCTTACATTTTTCCTGGCTTGCCCTCCTTTTTTCTTTTATGTTCTATTCTGTATTTTTCTTCTCTTTCTCTTTCTTCTTGAACCAGCATTCCTCCTAGTGTCTTTACTTTTTCAAAACCAGTGCACTGATTGACATTTTGAGAATGCCTTCATCTGCCTAGAGCCTACCTTTTAAACATATTAATGAGTGTGTAAAGCTTATGATTTATTTGTTTTGAGAAAGAATATGGGCAAACAGTGGGTATGTATGGGTATATGTAGTTGGTATAGCAGAGTGTGTTGAGAGCTGAAGAAAATGGCATGTATGTAGGTATTTGACTGGGTAATTTTACAGCATAATGTTTTATTCATAGGCATGTATTAGCAGTCGCAGAGTTTCTAAGGCACTCTTGGTTTTGATCCCATCATCTTGTTCGGATCTGTAGCGCGTGGAGCTTCGGTTCTGGCGTGGAGGCACTTTTCACTAGACTCTCCCCTTGCTCTCCTTGCTGACGTGCTAGGGACGTCCTTTGCCTCATATCTGGACACTGCTCCRGGAGGCATCAGGAGGAGCCGGCTGCGCCAGGGGGCAGCCCCGGGCCGCGCTCCCGCTCCCAGCCGGAACCAGGCGGAGACGGAGCAGAGTGGGGGCTCTCGATCTCCTTTGAAGTGCAAGCCGCACCAGCTGGGATGTCTCAAATACCAGAAGAGGGGGTTGTAAGGAAGTCTCAGTGACAGCTGAATCTGTGCAATATAAGAAAACCTAATTTACTARTGGAAAAAGAAAAAAATCCACCAGTCCAACTGAATTTTGCACGCCAAATCAAACATGGCCTGTGTAATAATCTCTCGGGTTGATTCAGATGATATGCTTGTCTTGTGTGTGTGTGCTTGGCTGGAAGACACGGATTATTTTCCTCCTGTGCACAKTACAATGTGTTAGGTGCATATACTGTTGCTGCCTCTACACCATAGATTGGTCCAAAATAATGCAGCCTGCCTCACTTTTGGTGAAGGTCTACCACCTGAGGTGACACTGTTTATTCCAGAGAAGTTAATTTACTCTAACTTGTTCAAAATTGGATCTAATCCCTGTTTTATTCCTGTTTACATTGACAGAAATATAGAGTGCCAGTTCTTAGTTCTTCACTGATTATAAAACGCAGAAACAATTCCCTTGTTGATGTAAGATCCTAGAAGCACCAATATTAGAATGTGCCAAATCAGTATTGAAGTCCTACGCCTGCTCTTTTGGTGACCTTAGAATGTGATTTCAATTAGGATTGTCCAGTGGCAATATGGATTTGGAGAACTCCTGGCCCTCTTTCCTCTTTTCTACTCCTTCCTGACCTTGGCAATAGTTTTGTTTTGGTGCTGTTTTCATTTTTAGAGGAAAGATTATCAACGAACAGACCAGTTCCCTAATCCTCCTGCTGACAACCTGTTCGATGAACATTCCTKCTGGTGAAAGCAGTGGATGAGCAATGGGTAGTGAGGATGAGCCAAAAATACATGTTTCAGGAGCCAGCTGAGTAGTTGTGATTGCTGGGCACTTAGGAAACCTCGGCTTCAGGTAGGGAGCATTAGTTTTAGTGATGTTCCAAAATACTCGAGCTTTGTGCTCGAAGAACGCCCATTTGCTTAGCACAGTGTTACCATGGGCACACGCCAAGTGATCATTGATTTGGAGAACAGATTCTGACTCTCTTATCTGTCGCAGATACCCAGTGTACCAAAGAACAAGCGATAGAAGCGCTGGCAAAGAAAGACTTCTACGTCTTGATATACAAATTTTGGAGCTATTGTAAAGATTTCCTTTAATCCATCTTGTTTTCAGTTAGTTCAGTTTCCAAACTGGGTAGATGGTAATTGTTGCTCTTGAATCACTGGCATTTTAAAAAGTATATGATAGAGCTCAGCAGTAACAATGCTGCTGCCTTTTGTCCACTCTTGATATTGCAAAGACTATTTTACCTGAGTATGGTATTTTTTTTCTTGAGAAAAAAAATAAGGTGGCATTTAACCTATGCACTTGCTTGAATTTGAAAATCAGCTTCTGACCCATAATGCAGTTTTATATCTGAAAAATAGAAYGATTTCCCAGTATAGCTTCTAAACATTCACACTGTGGCATGCGATGCAGTCTCTGTGGATTTGTCAAAGGCAGATCAGGGAGGTTCTCTTCAGCTACTGTATGTGAATAAAGACCTGGACTGAACTACTGCTGGATAGAAGAGGAAAAAGGAATCTCCTTGCATGATTGTGAAAAGATAAGTTCCGTGGTCTCTATTTGGGCAGAAGGGCCAGTTTCTGCCTCGCTGCATAGCCTTGGCTTTTCTCGGGGAGGGGAAGCTGGAGCTGCCCTGGGAGAAGGTGCAGCTCTCATCGCTGGAGATGCACATGGCATGCGGAGAGCTTCTGCTTTCCCGGGATATGCCATTTGAGAAAGAAAAGTAACTTAACACGGGCTGCAGGCGGGGTCACGGTGATGTAACAGGAAGCTCTGATGTTGGCGGCCGCCGCTCGCTTACAATCTGACATCGCTGCCGCGCAGCCCAGAGCCGCTCGCCGCCCCGAGCGGAGCCTCCTCGCTCCGCCACCTGGATTACACCGAGCGCTCCGGCCTCTCGGGCGCTTATTTGGTCCGTGGGGAGGGAAAGTGACATCTCTCTTTCTCCCTCCCTGAATAGAGGGAGAACAGAACCGATTGTCCAGGAATCGATCTGAAGCCGTTCTCACGAGACGCGCGTGTGGTGAGTACAGACTGAAGCTCTGCTATCTGCGTGTGGGGATATCTTGGTGGCTTTGAATTGCATGTATTTTTAGCTGTATCAGAGGGAAGAGCTCTGCACGCGTGTGCTTTTGCATTAACCCCGGCGTGTGATATCCAATCTGCAGGGAGAGAGGGCTGGGAGGAAAAGTCTCCGTTTATTTTTAGTGAGCAAGCTGATTTTATAACTTGCGTTGTTATAATATATCCTTAGAAAGTAGCCAGTGATAGGTAGAAAGGGTGGTAAAAATACTCAACACTTAAAAGATTCTGCCTGAAAGCCTAATAGCAGCTAACCAAATTTTGGCTTTGCATCTGGAGAGAATTAGAGGCTTATTGAAAAGGGTCCTTAAGACTAATTGAGTATAACTGCAGATCTTTGAGGCAGGATGATTTAGGTAGGACTGTGGTAGGTTTTCTTGCTTGAATATCTTCTTACACTTGTTGCTTTTATTATACGGAAAAGAGATTCTGAATAATTTCAAATCAGTTTTGTGATTTAGTCCTATCACTAAGCCCTAGTGATAGGACTTTGAAGATACAGCTTCTGATTCATTAGGGCATTGGTTGCTTGAGAAAAACCTTGAGTTTAGAGCTTGTTTGTGTCTTGAGGTGTTTCTGTGTGAGAATTTTCCACACATGCTGAACTGATTTACTGGACCGTAGTTGTCCCTTGTCCCATCTCCTGGAGAAACTATGGTAATGTGGAGCATGGGAGGTGTGTGATTTTTGCATTCCCACACAGAGTTAAGAGAGTGTGGTCACTTAGTTCTTCCTCAACTTTTCRAAGGAGACCTGATTTTACAAATATGCTTCATTACTGTGATTGGCATCATCATAAATTAGCTTTGGTACTGGTAGTTTGCTTATGTGTGTAAGCAGTGGAGCTGTAGTCAAGGAAAGGACTCTTAATTTCTGAAGGATAGTTAAGAAAAGTGATGGGCCATAACTTAATTAGGTTTGATCTGCAATGATTCATTTAGTCATCCATATACTTTACAGGGATGAGATTGAGTTAATGATGGAAATAGCCAAGAGTTTTGTGTTTTTTTCTTTCTTTCTTTCATTGTCTCATAATAAGCTTACTCCAGATACTTTGGGGGCACGTTTTG